AGTTGAATGGTGTAAAAATATGCTTACAAATATAGAGAAAGTACCAGTTGTCGCAATGTCTATTTCTCAGTTACCATAAAAGCCTTTTAAATTACAATATTTCTTTGTAAATTTAATCCTCCAACCTAAGTTTCAATATTTTGGTAAGACTTCAGTTTAAGGTCCAATTCTCACTATGAAAGGGTTAGTTCACCCAAAAATGAAAATTAAGTCATTGATTAGCCGCCCCCATGCTGTGCCAACCCCGTAAGACCTTCGTTCATCTTCGGAACACAAATGAAGATATTTTTGATTAAATTTGAGAGCTGGATCACTACCACATAGGCTGCCTAAGGGACTGGCTCTTGACGGCCCAGAAAGTCAATGAAGAAAATGTTTAAATATTCCATGTGACTACAGTGGAACCAAAAATAACGACTTTATTCGACTATTCCTTTTCTTCCTTGTTGGCCTGAAACGAGACTTCAATAGATTTCCACGACGCATTTCCCTGGATGTGTATCCCACAAATCTCCATCAACTGCAAGATGCTATCCTATCAATATGGGCCAACATTTCTAAAGAATGCTTTCAGCACCTTGATGAATCAATGCCACGTAGAAAAGGTAGTTCTATTGGTTTGATATTTTGATTGCCTTTGACTTTTTTCGTTGTTGTTGTTTAAATTGTATTTCTGTTTCAAATATCTTGTCATATTACTTTTTAAATTTAGCTGAAAAGCCTTTAATAGGATATTTAATGGTAGGTTCCACTGTGACTACTTTCCCCATATGTTGGCCTCTATCGGGGCATGTTGTCACAAAATAATGTTTCGAATGTGCCTTCCAATTTCTGATTACCAACATTCTTTAAAATAACATCTACGTTGCATTTAACACATATCCAGCATTTGCAACTTTACTGTGTGAGGCTTCCAGTGGCATCCACTTCCAGTTATTTTAGTAGGCCCAAAGGCCTCTTTTATTTTTTATTATTTTTTGATCATTATTATATATTATTTGGATTTATTATTATAATCGTATAACATTACAAGTTTTACCATTTACTGCACTTTGTTATTAATACCTATAGTGGCTGCACATTTACAGAAAACAACTTATTTGTGCGTTGCAAAAGAAGGTGGATGAAGTAATTGACCCACTAAGAGAAATGTTTACTAGAGTCAAATGTGTGAAAGCCTCTGTTATGACAGGAGACTGCTAGTAATTGATACTGACTTTTTACGACGAAATCAAATGACAAAATACTTCAAGATGTTTCTTACTGGTCATAGAGAATGAAAAACGGAGATGATTTATTTGAAAAAGTCTTTTGTCCAAACCTTTAAAGAGTATAACGCTGACCCAATGTTCCGTTTCACAGATCTAGTTTCAACCCAGTCACAACGGTTCGTTTAAAATGCGTCAGCGTCGTCTGAAAAGGACTCGTGAAAAATGCGCAAGATCTCTTCCCCGTGTGCGCACGCAACCCGGTCTCATCCCAAATCGTCATATAACTGACGTTTTGGGACGTCTTTTGACCATACGTCAATATTCGCCTTTTTAGGGCCCCCTTAAACGTCGGTAGATGAGGTTATGGGATCCTAACTCTACCCCATACCTAAACTTAACCCTAAACCTAACCCGTCACCTAACTGACGTTAAAGGTAAAGCGTCACTGTGTTAATACAGTAGAAGGTGCTGTGCAGTATGAAAGCACTATATACATGCCTCTTTCATTCATTCAACAGAACCATACCGCCAATCTAAGCTATATGCTAATATCAGTCGTATTTGACGATAGTGGTCGTGACAGTCAGAATTAGTTACTTGGAAAAAGTAATATGATTACGTAACTCACATTACTTTTTAATGCATTACCCCCAAACACTGCTTATTTGTTTTAACATCATATATATATTATTAATAATATTATTATTATTTTTTTAATCTATTTTCCAATTTCAACATTTTTAAAGCATTTTTCTCAGAATTTTTTTGTGGACTCACAAGCACCTCAAACCCCAAGTTCGAAAACCTCTGTATTAGAATATCAGAAGTTAAGACATGAGACTTTAAATTGTGATATTGCAGCACAATAAAATAAATCTATATCTATATATATATCTATATATATATATCTATATATATCTATATATATATATATATATATATATATATATATATAGGCTATATATATATATATATATATATATTCAATGCCTTTGCATACTGAAAAGAGACTAATATATCAGTTCTCTTTTTTCCGTTGAAATTATGCATTTTTTATTAACAGAAACTAAGGCTGTCAATACATATGAATAATCATGTAGAATCATGAACATTTTTTACTGCCTTAACAGGTTGTTCCATTTTTATAAGGAAAGAAAATTGTTTTGATGTACAAGTTCTCTGCATAATTTATAACTTAAACTTAACTTAACAATAATATTTTAAAGGCATCTCAAGTAAATGTTTATATTGAGAAATTCATCAGGAATATTTTAGATCACTTTATACAATTGTTGAGGGGATGAATTAAAAACCTTCCTGATCTTTTTCCACAGTAAGTAATCCAATGCATGTTATGTTTCACTTGTACATTCTGTGAGATTTTACTGATAAAAAAAAATAAAATGTAATAATTAATCATAAGACATTCCGAAACTACTAGGTCCCCTAATAACCCTCTTCTCATGGGTGAGAAGAACTGATCTAGACTATTACTGCCTCCTAGTGGACATTTGATGATTCTGGCAAAATCACCATTGAAAATAGTACTCCTATTCATGAAACCATGTTTTTTTGTTTTAGTTTTTTAATGTTAAAAAAATTGGACACGCCAGCAACTAATAATCATAAAAGTCAGTATAAAACACTTTACAAACATTGCACAAAAGAAGTCAGCATTAAAAAAAACTTTAGGCAAGGCAAGGCAAGGCAAGTTTATTTATATAGCACATTTCATACACAATGGCAATTCAAAGTGCTGTACATAGAAGAAATTAAAATAATCAAAAGAAATCAGAATAATTAAAACAGTTTAGAATAAAAAAATAAGAAATAATGAAAAATAAAAATTATGATAAAAATAAAATACAGTAAATTAAAACTATTTAGAATAATATGAAGTGCAGTAGCAGTCGGACGAACAGTGGCACAGTGCTCATTCAGTCAATGCACAGCTAAACAGATGTGTTTTGAGTCTTGATTTGAATGTGACTACTGTAGGAGCACACCTGATCTCTTCTGGAAGCTGGTTCCAGCTGCGGCTGGCATAATAGCTAAAAGCAGACTCTCCATGCTTAGAGTGAACCCTTGGTATTTCTAGCTGATGTGATCCCAATGATCTGAGTGATCTGTTGGGTTTATATTCAGTGAGCATATCTGCAATATATTGAGGTCCTAACCCATTAAATGATTTATATACCAGTAATAATACTTTAAAATCAATCCTAAATGTAACTGGCAGCCAGTGTAAAGACCTGAGGACTGGTGTGATGTGTTCATATTTTCTGGTCCTGCTCAGAATCCTGGCAGCAGCGTTCTGTATGAGCTGCAACTGTCTTATGGTCTTTTTAGGAAGGCCAGTGAGGAGGCCATTACAGTATCCACCCTGCTGGTGATGAAAGCATGCACAAGTTTCTCTAAGTCTTGACTGGAAACAAAGCATCTAATTCTTGAAATATTTTTCAGATGATAGTATGCTGATTTAGTTATTGCTTTGACATGACTATTGAAACTAAGGTCTGACTCTAGTGACACACCAAGATTCCTGACTTGATTTTTAGTTGTTAGACCCCTAGCGTCAAGGTATGCATTCACCTTAAGAACTTCATCTTTGTTTCCAAACGCAATAACTTCAGTTTTGTCTTTGTTTAACTGCAGAAAGTTTTGACACATCCAACCGTTTACTTCATCAATGCATTGGCACAGGGAGTTAATGGGGCTGTAGTCGTTAGGCGATAGGGCTAAGTAGAGCTCTGTGTCGTCTGCGTAGCTGTGGTAAGCTATTTGGTTCTTTTTCATTATTTGGCTCATTGGGAGCATATACAGGTTGAATAGGAGTGGCGCAAGAATCGAGCCCTGAGGGACTCCGCAAGTCATGGATGTCCACTCAGACTTATGTTCTCCCATACTCACAAAATAACCTCTCCCTTCTAAGTATGACCTGAAACATTTTAGGACTATCCCAGAAAGCCCCACCCAGTTTTCCAGCCTGTCAAGAAGTATGTTGTGATCAACAGTGTCAAATGCAGCACTGAGGTCGAGTAGTACCAGTATGGATAATTTGCCTGTATCAGTATTTAAGCGAATATCGTTTATTATCTTTATGAGAGCTGTCTCCGTGCTGTGATGCGATCGGAAACCAGATTGAAAATTGTCAAAATATCCATTTGAGCTTAAGAATTTGTTCAGCTGATTGAAGACAACCTTTTCAATGATCTTGCCTATGAAAGGAAGATTTGAGATCGGTCTATAATTGCTCAAGATGGTCTTATCCAGATTGCTCTTTTTCAGGAGGGGCTTGACAACTGCAGTTTTCAGGGAGTTCGGAAAATTCCCAGAGCGAAGTGAGGCATTTACCACTTCTAGGAGATCTGCTTCTAAACAGTTTAACACACGTTTGAAAAAAGATGTGGGAAGTGTGTCAAGGGCGCAGTTTGATGTTTTAAGGTGCTGTACGGTTTCTACCAAAATTGTGTCATCAATTTCTTCGAAATCAGACATAGTAACTACTTTCTCAGGTTGTGGTCTGATCTGCCTGAGCTGATCACCTTTCTGATGTTATTGGTTTTCTCAGAGAAGAAAGAAGCAAACTCACTGCACTTGCTGTCTGAGAGCATTTCTATGGGAATCTGGCTTGGGGGGTTTGTCAATCTCTCTACAGTAGCAAAAAGAGTGCGTGTGTTGTTTATATTGCTGTTTATAATATTTGAGAAGAAAGTCTGTCTGGCTTTGCCTAGTTCCCGTTGAAAGCGTGGATGCTGTCTTTGTAGATGTTATAATGGACTACAAGTTTTGTCTTCCGCCACATGCGTTCTGCTCTTCTGCATTGTCTTTTCATATTTTACAAACATTGTTAATGTAATAAAAACATCTGAATAGCATGCAAAAACAATTGACATTGAAAGCAAGATTATTTTACATTAATTAAAATATTTGATATTAGTTTTAATCAATTTCCTTTTCTGACAAAAATTCGAATAATTTTTTTTACATTTGCGCCACAATTAAGTATAATATTATTAACATTATTTACAGATCTCATTTCTTATTGACAATTAGTGTTACATGGGTCACCTGAGGTGAAAAATTCAAATACATTGACCAAAGGAAACATAGTCACTGCCCCCAACATTGAGCCCAACTGCACTACAGCTCCACACCACACAAGGGCGCTGTGGCCTTCATCGCGCAAAATGACAGCAACAATCACCTTTACGTAGGATAGGACGAAGATAAAAAAGAACCACGCCAACACCTGTAAAACAAAGTATAACTAAATATACAAAAAAAAAACAAACAATAATATAGATCAAGGAAGTATATGTTTCTTATATAAGATATAAACAAGTATTGGTCCCCAATACTCACAATAATGATGGCTCCAGAGGTCTCATTAACGAGCAGTGGACAGGGACTCAACACAGCCATGCTCATAATGAAAACTCCAATTAGAGAGCCAATAGAAGTGAGAACACCCATCAGCACTAAAGACCTGTTCAGAATGTGACAAAGAGATGAGAATGAGTTAGTTCATTGTGTTAATATCCAAAATGTGCATTATATATCTATCTATCTATCTATCTATCTATCTATCTATCTATCTATCTATCTATCTATCTATCTATCTATCTATCTATCTATCTATCTATCTATCTATCTATCTATCTATCTATCTATCTATCTATCTATCTATGGTGTTACTGCATATCGACATCCATGATAGGCCAAATTAATAGAGCACATATCATGGATTTTTGAAAATGACTGTTCATGTGGTGTGGAAAATAGGTCTAAGGGAATGAAAACATCCTGCAAAGATTTATATCTGAAAGTGCACCGTATATAAAGTTATTGTCTTTCAAAAGTGAGAGTCGACTCTGAGTCTATGAAATGAATTGTTTTTGAAACGAGTCATTAACTGTTACGTCGTGACGTAGATAGATCATTGGCCGCTCCCAACAACTACGCGTGCAGACTTGAAGTGACGTCTAGAACACATTCAATTACTTCAGCTGAATCGCATCATGACACTGACGTAATGACCGTTTAATAAGGAGATACTTTATGAAGACAGTTCACTTCGCGTGTACACAGGAGCCGTCTTAGAAAATAATCTCGATAAGTCAAACCACAAACGCCGTGCTGAGTGATCTGAACTGTATGAAGTTGCGAACTTCTGAACTGTATGAACGGCGTTCGGGGATCGACTTATCGAGACTATTTTCTAAGAAGGCTCCTGTCTGTATACGCGAACTGAACTGTCTTCATAAAGTATCTTCTTATTAAACGGTCTGTACACTTACAAAGTTCTCAATGCTTCGTTTTGCATGTATGGAGCCTCATTATGTTACTGTGTTAGTGTGGGGCTATTTTGAGCCTTGTTAGTGGTATAAACTAGTGATGTCTTTTTACTTAGTCAATGCCCCCATTACTAGCATTATACGCTAAACAGTTTTTAGAGATAAAACTCTTACATTCGATTATCATGAAAACAAATCTCAGAGAACGATTGACTAGGTACCGATGATTTATTAGACCAAAGGTTCATTGTTCGCCGGAGTTCTCCTTTAATATTGGTGCACTGATACAGCAAGCGCTATTCCCTGCTATTGTTAACATGTTAGCAATTTAGCAAGTTAGCATAGTTAGCTAAATAATAAAAATGTTCACATTAAGGTTACAAGAAAGTTTTAGAGTTAAAGCTGCAGTCTGTACCTTTTTTGGGGATAGAAATTATTAAATAAAATGTATTTAAGCTGTTGACGTTGTTAACATTGACAATTTGAGAACATGTAAAACGATTTTTATATTTAATCAGCACGATTTCCTGCAATGTCAGAACCAGAACCAAAATGGATGTTACTTACTTATTCAGATGACATTTTCGGGTGAAAATTATTATGTTGTTCATACTTCTAAAAAGAATAATCTGTGATTCTGAATGACAGTATTCACACCGGCACGGTTACTGACAGCCACAAGATTCATCCGTGCTGTGCCGTGTCGAACTACAACTTACATAAAGTTGACAATTCCGAAAATGACTGCAATTGCAGATTTCAAACAGAGATGGCGACAAAGAGGAAAAACTGCGGACTGTAGCTTTAAATGCATGGGTGTACTCAAACATTTAAAGTTAAGAACAAGTAAAATGTATGAATGCAAAATAAAATCTGCCAGTTCTGCTTACTTAAACTGAATTTCTTAACTTCAAATTTGAGGCAACTGATTGTGAATAATGAAATATACAAATTAAAAACATGACTAAATTCATAGCTTTCTGTCTAAATTTAAAGATCATTTTAAATTGGAATTAACATGGAGTTAGAATCAAATTAAAAACTAAATTCTAATAAAATAAACTATCTGTCTGTCTATTTAAAACTTTTAGCCTTTGTTTTAATTTTAGTATTCAAAATCAATTCCTGTGATGGCAAAGCTTACTCCAGTCTTTAGTGTCCCGTGATCCTTTAGAAACCATTCTAATGTCAATGTTGAAAACTTGATTTTAACCTTATTTAAATTTTCATCATCATTTCATGTGCTCATATTTGTTTGGGAAGTAGCCTTGTAATAAGCATAATATTGTAGAGCTACAATATATAATCATATATTGTTTAAAATGACAAAGAAATTACAGTACAACCTATGAAATCAATGTTTTTCAAGATGTGGCTCACCTTTGAGTGTAAAACATGGTGATGAAGCAAGCTATAGGATTGGCAACATTCGCCATAGTGGCTGACCAATGATAGGCCTGGTCTCCATATGGTAAACATGCATACGACTGCACTGACGGCAAGCCAGTATTGGTCAGAGCGTTTACCCATGCTAGGATAATGTAGATGTACACTACTTGTATCCACGTATACGTCCCGGTCCCAAACGTGCTCCTGGGCTTCTCAGTATTTTGAGAACGCATCATTGGTTTCTGTTCAGATCTCTTGTTTTTCCTGTGGGATGTATGGGCTCCATTTCGTTTTGTGTTACTGGAGTGCTCTCGAGCCACAGCTGGATTGTAGTTTAAAAGTAAGAACGCCACTAAACAAACCACCATCATAGCAGCCAGGAAGAAAAAATAGGCTTCAACTGAAAAGTTAGCAGGTTGGTATTGAGGCACAAAGTAGTTAGCGTCTCTGTAAGACTCATTAAGGTGCGTTTCATTGGATCTGAGGATTTGAGATGCATTTACACATTCCATCACACCTACACCCTGAACCATCGCCATTAAAGCTGGGACAAGACCGCTCAGGCCTTCCCCTATATAATAAGTCATGAGATACTCCGACTTGAGCCGCGCCATGAAGGGAAGGAACGTCACAGAAGAAGTGCAGTCCACTATGGAGATGAAGAAGATGAGGAGCAGGAGAGGAAGGCTGCACTCCACACCTCGCACCGCTACCGTCTCACTCCAGAAGAAAGCCAGGAAGAAGCTGGCCAGTATCCCAAAACCAACAATAAAATAAATAACCGCTGTCTCGTTGAGAGTTCCTGGGCGGAAGCGGTGCATTAATGTGACAAAAAGAGGTCCGATGTTGGCAATTTGGATAATAACAGTGAGGTAGGAGGGAAGGTACCAGCCCTCAGGTACATGTGGAACGATTAAAGGAAGCTCCACCCACACACCACAGATGGTGACCCATGAGCCCATGCCAAACAGACAGGCCAAAACATGGGTGAGGATGGACATGGCCATGATGATTTAGATCAGTATCCTTCAGAATTCATAACCTAAATGTCTAAAAGAAAGAAAAAAGATGCAGTTAGTAACCAAAAGAATCATCGTTATTAATGGTAAAGTTCTGTCATGTACTCACTCTCAAGTTGTTTCAAACCTGTATGAATTTATTTCTTCGGCTGAACACCAAAAAATATATATTTCAAAGATTCTGGGTAACCATATAGTTGTTGGGCCCCAATGACTTTCATAAGCAGGAACTAGGGACTTTGGGGTGGTACTCTGTGTGTTTACACTGCAGGAACCAGGGTCTAAATGAAGTTTCGGGTAAATGTTTCCCCCTCCAAAAGTCCCTGCTTGAGTGGTAGTACTTTATCAAAGTTCAGGAACTTTCAGGGGTGGGACTTTGGTACTGAAAATGCTGATTGGTTGAGTTCATCAGAGGCGTAGCAAGCTTTTGAAAAGTGTGGGGGATGGATGTGTCATTTAAATTTGGGCATGTTACGTAGACCCCTGTCCCTCTAGGGGGGTTCGGGGGCATGCTCCCCCGCAAGAAAATTTGGTACATTTTAAGGTTAAATGCATCAATCTGGAGCACATTGAGAGCTCAAAATTAAGAGCTTCAACTGGATTCGACCCAGGCCTGTGCACATTGAACAACGAAAAAGCATGGACTTGTTGCTTACCTAAAGAGGGCTCAAACATCTTTATAGTTAAGATATAGAGTCTGTCATTATATTCTATATTATGCTATCAAAATTACAATACTTTTGTCCTAATTTCTTCACTTGTAAGAAATAAACCCTTGAGCTTTTATTTAGGAGAAAACACAGAACACCATGCTGATCGTGTGAGCAAAGAGCGCGTTTTTTTTTTCAAATCACGCAGCATTACAAACAGAATGCCTAACGCAAGTCTTCTACTGTTTATCCAAAAATACGAAATATAATAATGAAAACACTGGACATGTCAATAAAACATAAACATAACATCTTCCCAAACACATATCAAGCTTATTTAAAAAACTCGAAAGCATAAACACTCATTCAAAGTACCTGGAAAAGGGAGATGTAAACAACCATAAGTTCCCGCCTCCTCAGCACGAGCTGACCGATACATCTAACACATCAAGAGAGGCGGGACTTAAGGCAGAACAGCCAATCATCAGCCGGACACACTCAAAGCCGGTGTCATGTTTGAGAGGAGACAGCCACAGCGAGCGCACACACACACACTGAGCGCCAGAGAAACGGAGGAGCGACTGTAGAAAGGCGTTTGTGTAAAACTGCGGAAAAACGGCAGAAAAAGTGCGGGTGTTGAACACTCTCACCGGGAAAAGTGTGGGTGTTAAAACACCCACATCCCCCATGGTTGCGACGCCCCTGGGCTCTAGACCCTTCCAGAGCTGAGATATAGAAACTCAAAAATTCGACCCGAAAAAAAAAACGACAGTGGTACCCCTTTCGTTTTTTTTTTTTGGGCGAAAAATTAAGTTTCTCCAATCTTCTCAAAACTCTGGATTCTGATAGAGGGCCATGCGACTTTAACCTGAGTGCAAAAATGGAGGCTCTAGACCCTTCCAGAGCTGAGATATCGAAACTCAAAAATTCGACCCAAAAAAAAAAACGACAGTGGTACCCCTTTCGTTTTTTTTTTTTCGGGCGAAAAATTAAGTTTCTCCAATCTTCTCAAAACTCTGGATTCTGATAGAGGGCCATGAGACTTTAACCTGAGTGCAAAAATGGAGGCTCTAGACCCTTCCAGAGCTGAGATATCGAAACTCAAAAATTCGACCCGAAAAAAAAAAAACGACAGTGGTACCCCTTTCGTTTTTTTTTTTTTCGGGCGAAAAATTAAGTTTCTCCAATCTTCTCAAAACTCTGGATTCTGATAGAGGGCCATGAGACTTTAACCTGAGTGCAAAAACTGAGGCTCTAGACCCTTCCAGAGCTGAGATATCGAAACTCAAAAATTCGACCCGAAAAAAAAAAACGACAGTGGTACCCCTTTCGTTTTTTTTTTTTTGGGCGAAAAATTAAGTTTCTCCAATCTTCTCAAAACTCTGGATTCTGATAGAGGGCCATGAGACTTTAACCTGAGTGCAAAAATGGAGGCTCTAGACCCTTCCAGAGCTGAGATATCGAAACTCAAAAATTCGACCCGAAAAAAAAAAACGACAGTGGTACCCCTTTCGTTTTTTTTTTTTCGGGCGAAAAATTAAGTTTCTCCAATCTTCTCAAAACTCTGGATTCTGATAGAGGGCCATGAGACTTTAACCTGAGTGCAAAAATGGAGGCTCTAGACCCTTCCAGAGCTGAGATATCGAAACTCAAAAATTCGAACCGAAAAAAAAAAACGACAGTGGTACCCCTTTCGTTTTTTTTTTTTGGGGCGAAAAATTAAGTTTCTCCAATCTTCTCAAAACTCTGGATTCTGATAGAGGGCCATGAGACTTAACCTGAGTGCAAAAATGGAGGCTCTAGACCCTTCCAGAGCTGAGATATCGAAACTCAAAAATTCGAACCGAAAAAAAAAACGACAGTGGTACCCCTTTCGTTTTTTTTTTTTGGGGCGAAAAATTAAGTTTCTCCAATCTTCTCAAAACTCTGGATTCTGATAGAGGGCCATGAGACTTTAACCTGAGTGCAAAAATGGAGGCTCTAGACCCTTCCAGAGCTGAGATATCGAAACTCAAAAATTCGACCCGAAAAAAAAAAAACGACAGTGGTACCCCTTTCGTTTTTTTTTTTTGGGCGAAAAATTAAGTTTCTCCAATCTTCTCAAAACTCTGGATTCTGATAGAGGGCCATGAGACTTAGACCTGAGTGCAAAAATGGAGGCTCTAGACCCTTCCAGAGCTGAGATATCGAAACTCAAAAATTCGACCCGAAAAAAAAAACGACAGTGGTACCCCTTCGTTTTTTTTTTGGGCGAAAAATTAAGTTTCTCCAATCTTCTCAAAACTCTGGATTCTGATAGAGGGCCATGAGACTTAGACCTGAGTGCAAAAATGGAGGCTCTAGACCCTTCCAGAGCTGAGATATCGAAACTCAAAAATTCGACCCGAAAAAAAAAACGACAGTGGTACCCCTTACGTTTTTTTTTTTTGGGCGAAAAATTAAGTTTCTCCAATCTTCTCAAAACTCTGGATTCTGATAGAGGGCCATGAGACTTAACCTGAGTGCAAAAATGGAGGCTCTAGACCCTTCCAGAGCTGAGATATCGAAACTCAAAAATTCGGCCCGAAAAAAAAAACGACAGTGGTACCCCTTACGTTTTTTTTTTTTGGGCGAAAAATTAAGTTTCTCCAATCTTCTCAAAACTCTGGATTCTGATAGAGGGCCATGAGACTTAGACCTGAGTGCAAAAATGGAGGCTCTAGCCCCTTCCAGAGCTGAGATATCGAAACTCAAAAATTCGGCCCGAAAAAAAAAACGACAGTGGTACCCCTTACGTTTTTTTTTGGGCGAAAAATTAAGTTTCTCCAATCTTCCAAAATTCTGATAGAGGGCCATGAGACTTAGACCTGAGTGCAAAAATGGAGGCTCTAGCCCCTTCCAGAGCTGAGATATCGAAACTCAAAAATTCGGCCCGAAAAAAAAAACGACAGTGGTACCCCTTACGTTTTTTTTTTTGGGCGAAAAATTAAGTTTCTCCAATCTTCCCAAATTCTGATAGAGGGCCATGAGACTTAGACCTGAGTGCAAAAATGGAGGCTCTAGCCCCTTCCAGAGCTGAGATATCGAAACTCAAAAATTCGGCCCGAAAAAAAAACGACAGTGGTACCCCTTACGTTTTTTTTTTGGGCGAAAAATTAAGTTTCTCCAATCTTCCCAAATTCTGATAGAGGGCCATGAGACTTAGACCTGAGTGCAAAAATGGAGGCTCTAGCCCCTTCCAGAGCTGAGATATCGAAACTCAAAAATTCGGCCCGAAAAAAAAACGACAGTGGTACCCCTTACGTTTTTTTTTTGGGCGAAAAATTAAGTTTCTCCAATCTTCCCAAATTCTGATAGAGGGCCATGAGACTTAGACCTGAGTGCAAAAATGGAGGCTCTAGCCCCTTCCAGAGCTGAGATATCGAAACTCAAAAATTCGGCCCGAAAAAAAAACGACAGTGGTACCCCTTACGTTTTTTTTTTGGGCGAAAAATTAAGTTTCTCCAATCTTCCAAAACTCTGGATTCTGATAGAGGGCCATGAGACTTAGACCTGAGTGCAAAAATGGAGGCTCTAGCCCCTTCCAGAGCTGAGATATCGAAACTCAAAAATTCGGCCCGAAAAAAAAAACGACAGTGGTACCCCTTACGTTTTTTTTTTTGGGCGAAAAATTAAGTTTCTCCAATCTTCCCAAATTCTGATAGAGGGCCATGAGACTTAGACCTGAGTGCAAAAATGGAGGCTCTAGCCCCTTCCAGAGCTGAGATATCGAAACTCAAAAATTCGGCCCGAAAAAAAAACGACAGTGGTACCCCTTACGTTTTTTTTTTTGGGCGAAAAATTAAGTTTCTCCAATCTTCCCAAATTCTGATAGAGGGCCATGAGACTTAGACCTGAGTGCAAAAATGGAGGCTCTAGCCCCTTCCAGAGCTGAGATATCGAAACTCAAAAATTCGGCCCGAAAAAAAAACGACAGTGGTACCCCTTACGTTTTTTTTTTTGGGCGAAAAATTAAGTTTCTCCAATCTTCCCAAATTCTGATAGAGGGCCATGAGACTTAGACCTGAGTGCAAAAATGGAGGCTCTAGCCCCTTCCAGAGCTGAGATATCGAAACTCAAAAATTCGGCCCGAAAAAAAAACGACAGTGGTACCCCTTACGTTTTTTTTTTGGGCGAAAAATTAAGTTTCTCCAATCTTCCCAAATTCTGATAGAGGGCCATGAGACTTAGACCTGAGTGCAAAAATGGAGGCTCTAGCCCCTTCCAGAGCTGAGATATCGAAACTCAAAAATTCGGCCCGAAAAAAAAACGACAGTGGTACCCCTTACGTTTTTTTTTTTGGGCGAAAAATTAAGTTTCTCCAATCTTCCCAAATTCTGATAGAGGGCCATGAGACTTAGACCTGAGTGCAAAAATGGAGGCTCTAGCCCCTTCCAGAGCTGAGATATCGAAACTCAAAAATTCGGCCCGAAAAAAAAACGACAGTGGTACCCCTTACGTTTTTTTTTTGGGCGAAAAATTAAGTTTCTCCAATCTTCCCAAATTCTGATAGAGGGCCATGAGACTTAGACCTGAGTGCAAAAATGGAGGCTCTAGCCCCTTCCAGAGCTGAGATATCGAAACTCAAAAATTCGGCCCGAAAAAAAAAACGACAGTGGTACCCCTTACGTTTTTTTTTTTGGGCGAAAAATTAAGTTTCTCCAATCTTCCCAAATTCTGATAGAGGGCCATGAGACTTAGACCTGAGTGCAAAAATGGAGGCTCTAGCCCCTTCCAGAGCTGAGATATCGAAACTCAAAAATTCGGCCCGAAAAAAAAACGACAGTGGTACCCCTTACGTTTTTTTTTTTGGGCGAAAAATTAAGTTTCTCCAATCTTCCCAAATTCTGATAGAGGGCCATGAGACTTAGACCTGAGTGCAAAAATGGAGGCTCTAGCCCCTTCCAGAGCTGAGATATCGAAACTCAAAAATTCGGCCCGAAAAAAAAACGACAGTGGTACCCCTTACGTTTTTTTTTTGGGCGAAAAATTAAGTTTCTCCAATCTTCCCAAATTCTGATAGAGGGCCATGAGACTTAGACCTGAGTGCAAAAATGGAGGCTCTAGCCCCTTCCAGAGCTGAGATATCGAAACTCAAAAATTCGGCCCGAAAAAAAAACGACAGTGGTACCCCTTACGTTTTTTTTTTGGGCGAAAAATTAAGTTTCTCCAATCTTCCCAAATTCTGATAGAGGGCCATGAGACTTAGACCTGAGTGCAAAAATGGAGGCTCTAGCCCCTTCCAGAGCTGAGATATCGAAACTCAAAAATTCGGCCCGAAAAAAAAACGACAGTGGTACCCCTTACGTTTTTTTTTTGGGCGAAAAATTAAGTTTCTCCAATCTTCCCAAATTCTGATAGAGGGCCATGAGACTTAGACCTGAGTGCAAAAATGGAGGCTCTAGCCCCTTCCAGAGCTGAGATATCGAAACTCAAAAATTCGGCCCGAAAAAAAAACGACAGTGGTACCCCTTACGTTTTTTTTTTGGGCGAAAAATTAAGTTTCTCCAATCTTCCCAAATTCTGATAGAGGGCCATGAGACTTAGACCTGAGTGCAAAAATGGAGGCTCTAGCCCCTTCCAGAGCTGAGATATCGAAACTCAAAAATTCGGCCCGAAAAAAAAACGACAGTGGTACCCCTTACGTTTTTTTTTTTGGGCGAAAAATTAAGTTTCTCCAATCTTCCCAAATTCTGATAGAGGGCCATGAGACTTAGACCTGAGTGCAAAAATGGAGGCTC